GTTTGGTCCTGTTTGGTCCTGTCTGGTCCTGTTTGGTCCTGTTTGGTCCTGTTTGGTTCTGTTTGGTTCTGTTTGGTCCTGTTTGGTCCTGTTTGGTCCTGTTTGGTCCTGTCTGGTCCTGTTTGGTCCTGTTTGGTTCTGTTTGGTTCTGAAAGCAGCTGGACGCTTCCTGCTCTGGTGGATCTCAGATGTTGGTGTCTCTGGTTCTGCTTCTCTGGGTCCTAACTGAGGTCCTGTTTGGTCCTGTTTGGTCCTGTTTGGTCCTGTTTGGTTCTGTTTGGTTCTGTTTGGGCTGAAAGCAGCTGGAGGCTTCCTGCTGTTAAACTGTGACAGAAACACCAACATCTGACCCACCAGAGTCCAGAGAACCAGAGTCCTGCTTTTCTCCTCCAGAATGAGGTTAGGGTTAGGGTTAGGGTTAGGGTTAGGGTTAGGGTTAGGATGCTTCCACCAGAGTCCAGAGAACCAGAGTCCTGCTTTTCTCCTCCAGAATGAGGTTCTCCTCCTGGATCAGCTCTGATCAGCATCCAGAGATGAGGAAACTCTGTCTGAGAGCTGAAAGCAGTCGACTAAAAGGTGGAGCTCAGAGCTGGGATCAGTTTAGATATTTACATTTTAAACATGATCATTCAGACCTCCTGCTTTAGGAAACAGAAACTCTGAGCTGCAGGAGAACAAACAGCTGGAGGATAGCAGAAGCAGCTCTGGTTTCCCTGAATCAGCTCTGTTCAGCAGCTGTACAGACAGGAGCTGGAGCAGCTTCTCTGAGAACAGAAACTCAAAGATTTTGGGTCGATTTAGACTTCTTGTTCAGTCAAACAGAGCTGAGAGGACAGTACATGGGTTTAAAACATGTGTCTCTTTCATCTGTTTGACTAAAAGGTGGAATAAAAAAGATTGGACATTGTTTTATGGCTCTTTTGGTAACGAGCAGGAAATGAGGACAATAGATAGAAATATTTGAACAGTTTGATAGATTTATCAGTTTAGACTGCTGCAAAATTAATAAAACTAAAACATTTGCCATAATTTACTTTATACAACATCGATTTAAATGTGTAACTTTAATTATTCAGTTTAGTTTTAACAGGCTATTCAATTCAACACTTGTCTTTTACCCATTCATCTGTTCTTTTTCTTATCTTACTGTAATATATTTTATTTGATTTTTTCCATTTTTTTCTTTGTTTATTCACCCAGAAGTGGAGGATGTACATAAAATGATGAATAGCTTTGTTTGTACCTCCATCTGGACCCTTTTGTTGCTGTTTCTCCGGTTCTAGAGGATGTTGGCCTGCTGTATGTGTGTTTGGTTCATGTCTTTTGTCTTTCCCCTCCTTGGCCCGCTGTTGTCTGTGTTTGGTTAATTGTGAGAATAGGCATTCTCACTATACCTTTCCTGTTTCTCTTCCGTACGTTTATGTGCATCTAACTCCTCCTACACCTTTCAGCCGATTTCAACAAATAAGGTATCAAAATGTTCAGCTCCTTCGGCACATAGCTGCTATTACTTTTGGTGTTCATATCTTTTTAAATTTTTAAGTTATTTAACTTTTTCTGTTTTGTCTTCTCTCATTGAAATGAATGGAGAAATCTTCAACTCCGTCTAAAACTTTGACCTACTTCAGCCCTAACTACTTCAGCCTACTTTGAGCTAGAAAATAAATTTTATATGGTTCTCAAGCCATTCAACTATCCATCTATGACTTTTCTCTTAAAAATATTCAGCCGTTTTTTAAATATGGCAGTTTTAAAATCATTGAAATTTCAGCTTTTCCTATGGGTTCCTATGGGACCAAGTTAGAGCAGGAGATCAAAGAAGTCATGTGACACACTCTAGCGTTTCAGCCACTCTTCCACTTCTTCAAACTCCTTCAGATTACTTCCACACTCTTCAGCCTACATACACCAATTTTACCTTAAAACGTAGGAGAATTTTTCCTCTTTCACCCAATGTAACTTTCAAAGCCTTCAGCCTCTCAGATTTTGAGCTATGAGCCTCAGAGTCAGAGCTCTACCACCAAGATTACATTGAAAATCCATTAAAAAATCTCACTGACAAGTTGTTCAACTCTGAAAAGTCTCCTATTTTGAAATCGCTCCCGTTGGGCCATTTCTGGCTCAATTTAAAAAATAAAAACACCCTCACGATCCCCAATCTCTCCAGGCGCTCACGGTGTCCTCAGAATTAACGTGGCTCTTATAGTTTTGGCTCAGGAGGTCAGAATGTGAGGGGAACTTTTGGCTGTTGAGCAAGCATTTGGCAGAGAGCCTGCATGTGTAAGTGAAGCCAGGTGCGGCCGTTTCTATGACG